TGAGAGAGAAACATCGATCAGCTGCCTCCTGCACATCTCCTACTGGGGATGTGCCCGCAACCCAGGTACATGCCCTTGACCGGAATCGAACCCGGGACCCTTCAGTCCGCAGGCCGACGCTCTATCCACTGAGCCAAACTGGTTTCGGCTGATCTGTCATTGTTGATCGTGAATTTGGTTAACACTTCTATTTAGAGAAAGGGCCAATAGTGATATTAACATATTTCTTCTAAATAATTTCCTTTCAATATACATGAATCTGTGCACTGAATCACTAGTATCTCAATAAAATTGGGAAAAAAGTGGTTGAAGTGAAAAGTTTGACAAAAGGGGTAAATGGTAAAAATCACTTACCTGGAATCTCATGCTGAATAAATGAGACCTTACTGTATTAAAATTTTTTTTCATTTAAAATAGTAGCTCAGAGGGAACAATTCATAGCATATCTACTTCTAGATTTTAAATTCAAAATTAAATTTTAGATTGAACCATATGAAATTACTCTTTTCATGGTCAAACGTTAGCCATTTCATGTATTTCAACCTTCCAGTATAGCTGAGATTGCTGGCTTGTAGAGGGAGGAATGACTGCTGACGGTGATGTTCTTTTGTTTTCAGTATGCATTGCCTCTTCAGCTGGTGAATAACCAAACCATGACAACGTGGATGGAGATCTTTCGAGCTATTATTGACAGGACAGTTCCCCCTGTAAGAAAGAGCTTCTGTTCCTAAGAAAAACTGTGAAAATGTGGGTTTGGGATATTTGTGGTAAACTGATTTATGATCTTAGCCTATCTGGGGAAAAAAAATTACTACTGTAGTAAAAATAATTAATAAGACATATTCATGTTGGGACTGTCCAGGTAAGCAAAACAAATAAAATAACTACCTTTTTCTTACTAAAATGCTAAAAAACATTTTTGAGAACTGGTATTTATTCTTCTAGCCTTTTTTTTCTCTGTGTCTATATGCAACCATCTTTTATTTATAAAAATGGTATACGTAGGCACTGATTTGAAATTTATTTATCACTTAAAATCTTTTATAAATATTTTTTATGATACAAATGTTTTTAAACTCTATCATTTTTGTTGAATGCTTCATTTGCTGGGCATTTAGATTGTTTTAGTTTTTTAGTATTTTAACTATAAGGATGTAGTTTAAATTTTTATGCACATACATGATTATTTTCTTTGGATTAACTCCTGGAAGGTTTAAGACTTTGACAGATCCTGCAAAGTACTCTCCAGAAACATTGCCCTGGCTCACACTTCAATAACCAGTGACTGAGAATATTTTACATAAAAGTCTAAGTTGCCAGTGTGATGGGTGAAAGATGGTGTCTCATTTTTATCTGCAATAACAGTGATGCTATAGTTCACTTATCAAATTCACTGAGATAACTAATTCAATTCAATTAAAAAATATAAAATATGTTAACATTTAAGGTTGTCTTCAAATGCGCAGTACTTTTCTCTTATTCATATTTTGGGACAAATTATATTTAAGTTTAAGTTATATACATAAATGCACAGAACTTATTGAACAGCTCAGTGAATTATGGCAAACATGCACTTGTGTTACTGTCACCCAGCTCCAGATGACATGGTAGGACCTTTCTGTCATCCCAGAGTTTCCTCAAGTGAATTGGTATTTTGTATTTGTTTTCTACTTATTTGGGCCTTTTGAAGATGGGAGATAAATGTGAACTGCAGCATTGGTTAGTTAAAATTTACTTTGCTTATTTAATGTCTACCTTGCAATTTTTTAAGAAGGAATTTGCATTTATATGGCAATCTAAATTCACAATTAATATTACTTGGTCTATAGCAAGATTTATTCTGCCTGTTATTGACATAAACCTTTTGTTATGCAGAAATGTCATCTGGGTGTTTTTGTCCTTTTAGGAGACTATGCAAATTGATGAGGATGATCGACCAGAACTAGTCTGGTGGAAGTGTAAGAAGTGGGCGCTGCATATTGTAGCTCGCCTTTTTGAACGGTAATTCTCTGTATTAGATTTATGCTCTTAGGTCAGTATCGCAGTATTGGATATAATAAAGTTGAATAGGTCCCTTGATGGCCCAGAGTATATGGTTATTTGTCTTTAGTGCCATAGAGGGCAAAAAGTCACCCTCTGTTTTAATTGTGATCATTGACTTTGAGATCATAATGAGGTGCTCAGTCTTCTCTGAATCTTTCTATTTTTCTATAAAAAGAATGGAAAATGACATTGTTTAGCTTATTGGAAATATCCAGGAATTGTACAAGAAGGTGCTTAGTAATTCAGCTCCATAGGAAAGTTAGTCATTTATAGAAGCATTTATTGGAAAACATATGTTAGATATAACTTTATTTGAAATATTTCACATTTAGGGGATCATCGTTAATTAAATAGGTGAAAGTTTCTGTCTGAAATTTTAAGTATGACCCAGAGTCGAAGGATAGCTTTTCATGATTTCCTTTTGGGGCTTGTGAAAAGAAGAGAAAGTGTCAGTTTTCTGCCCCAATAGAATGCATCTTTCAACAAGGGACTGTATTTAAACTAGTGGCCATGCTGGTTTAAACAATTCACAGTATTTAAACATTTTCTCTTTCTATTTTAAGATATGGAAGCCCAGGAAATGTCACAAAAGAATACTTTGAATTTTCTGAATTCTTTTTGAAAACCTATGCAGTGGGAATTCAGCAGGTAATAAACTTAACGCTTTTAAAATAGAAGTAGTTAAGGCATTTCTAGCTATATAAAAGTAGGTTACAAACATATTATCATGTTACATATTGATAGGGGATGAAATGGTAGCTCTGGGAGTTTAATGCACTGCAATTAGTTTTAGAGCCCAGTGGCCTAGGCAGCTGCTACAAGAAGTGCCCTTCTAGACAGCTAGAGGCTGGACTCAAACCTTGTAAGTTTGTTGATCCTACTGCAGCAGTCACTAGTATTAGATTGGATTCTTCTATTAACGTTCTGACTTCCTATGAGTTTCCTACCCTCTATTTCTTTGAGCCTCACCTCTTTATTCTAAGCTTTTATATCATAAGAGTTCATGGAATACGAATTAATCTATTTCAAGAGAAGCTGAGCTTAGAAGTTAAGAATTTCAGCTGAGAACTTACACATTTTTTATGGAAGTTTGGGAACCATTTCTATGCAGTGAAAGAACAGCATCCATTTTTAGCCTGCATTGCTGAACACTGCAGAGATGTTGGCAGGACTCTGACACTTTTATCAACCTGGATTTTACACAACTTGAACTGAATTTATGTTCTGAATTTATAAGTTCTGTACTTGTTTTGAAAGAACCCTTTTTTATTTATTCACCAGTTCATTTAATAGGCTTGCGATAGGGCAGAACTCTGGAGACCAGATATTAGAAGCCTTGGACTTTTTTTATTACCTCTGACTGAGGGTCCTTGGGATGGTCATGGCTGCTTTGGGCATGGCTCCTTCCATATAAACAGTCTCTCTCTTTTTAATCAATCTTTAAAAAAATAATTTCTCAGTTTGGTGTTATGTTTATAAAGACTTTCCGTTGTCTGAGATTCTAAAAGAAAATTCTTCCATATTTTCTAATAGGAATTTTATGCTTTCATTTTTTGTTTGTTTGTTTAAATATTTTGCCATCTAGAATTTATTTTGGTATGAAGTTTAGTTAGGGAATCAACTTCATTTTTGTTCAGAGGGTTAATATAGTTGTCCCAATACTATTTATTTGAGTCCACGGCCGTACCACCCTGAACATGCCAGATGTCTTCTATTTTTTTGATAATTTAACTGTTTCTCTCCTGGTTTGAAATGCACCTTTATCAAATGTTAAAATCTGTTTGTGCTGTCTTTTGCTGTATGGTTGTTTTCAATGTTCATTTAGTCAAGTCTGTTGTTGTTTTTTTAACAGAAGTCTTAATGTATTTGAATAACTAGTATGTGGAATAGGGCGAAGACTTACTCTGAGTAGTTCCATAGGTTAGAAGTAGGACACATGGCTGGAAATTACAGTGAGGCACTGTTCCATATAACATGACCCTGTCTAATAATTAAAACTGCCCCGGACCTTTCTCACAAAATATCGACTTCCCTTAACATCTGTTAGTTTTTGTCTTTATGCATTCTGGGTTTTAGGTTATGCCTTAAATGCCCCTCCCCTTAACTTTAAAATTATACATATTCTCTTCCCATTTTCCTATAGGTACTACTAAAAATTTTAGACCAATATAGACAGAAAGAGTACATCGCTCCTCGGGTTCTTCAGCAAGCATTCAACTATCTCAACCAAGGGGTTGTTCACTCTGTAACGTGGAAGCAGATGAAGCCACACATACAGGTGAGTGTCAGGGAGCAGTTCTCTAAAATTATTCTCTGGTTAAATTCGGTTTTCTAGACAAAGTGTTACTAATTCCATATTTTATGCTGAATATATTTTTATTTCCATTAATAATTACAAATGAGTGCAGTCGTATCTCATATGAAGGGCTTGGAAATTTAAGTATGAGAAGAGTGAAAACTTCCAAGTTTTATGAGTTGGAGGACTTGGATTCAGTTGACCTTGCTTAATTGTTTACTTAAAGATAGAATTCGCCCTAACCGGTTTGGCTCAGTGGATAGAGCGTCAGCCTGCAGACTCAAGGGTCCCAGGTTCGATTCTGGTCAAGGGCATGTACCTTGGTTGCAGGCACATCCCCAGTAGGGAGTGTGCAGGAGGCAGCTGATCGATGTTTCTCTCTCATCGATGTTTCTGGCTCTCTATCCCTCTCCCTTCCTCTCTGTAAAAAATCAATAAAATATATTAAAAAAAAAGATAGAATTCCACATTGTTATTTAATCAAAGGACAAATGAGAATGAAAAATTATAGGCCATTCATAAATAAATTCCTATTTGCATGCAGACAATTTTGGGTAATTCAACAATGTCAGGAATGGAAATTTTTCCCCTTAAAACTGTAAATTCTTGAATTCTAATCTCTAAGATGGTATCTAAAAAGAAAAAGAAATTCCTTTTCTTTGCCTTTGGTGTCCAGGTTAGAATTCAGTTAGTGTTATCATATTACAGGTCTTAACAATATAATATTTTTTGCATTGTTTTCTGTGGACATCTTAATTATATTTGCCTAATCTCCTTGATCAAAAAGGGGTCATTTCTTTGCAATTAATAGATAACTAGTTTCATTTTATTTGCTGTGTTTCTGTAAAGTAAGGATTAAATGCGATAGTATATTTTCTGCTTGATGACTTTGACCTTAATTTTACATGACTGTAATGTAGGAATAAGAAACGGATCCTTAGGCTGAATTTTTTCTCTTAGAAATACTTAATTTATTTAAAAGGTGGTTCTGTGGTTTTTGTTTTTTTTAATTCTCATCTGAGGACATGCTTGTTAATTTTAGAGAAAGAGGAAGGGAGAGAGAGAGAGAGAGACAGAGACAGAGAGAGACATTGATCTTGCCTTCCCCGTGTGTGCCTTGACTGGGAATTAAACTCCGCACCTTTGGTGTATGGAATGATGCTCCAGCCAACTGATCCACACTGGCCAGGGTGAGATGGTTCTGTTTTTACATATGTAATTGCTGGAGCACAAAAGGACTTTAGTAGAGCATTAGCAGCAGTGGACATACAGATATGGTTTTTTCTTTTCCCCCTGAAACCTGCATTTGTAGAGTAGGAAATTAGGTTTTTGTAAATGGAAGAAAAGAAAATTTTAATATTGTTGATATGTTGACATTTAGAACCAAAATGGAAATGTAAAAATGCGCAAAAAAGATATATAATAGTAAATATAACCTTTGCTTGATATTTATTTCTTCTTAAAGAGTCAAGGTATGCTTACTACTGATTTGTTAGTAAAACTTTATTATCCTTTCTGTTGCTTCAAAAAATAGCATTTACATTCATCTTTCTCTATGTCTTTAATCAATTGTTGTTTAAAAACAAACTTATGTTTAACCCAACCTTTCACTCCCTCATCCCCTCACCCTCTACCCTCACTCTAAGCTCTTGCTTTCCTGCTCCCACCTTAGCTGCTGCAAGCTTAATAGGAAGATTAATAGTGCAGTTTGGAAAACTAACACCATAAAGGCAGTCAGTAAATCCATTATTAGTGTAACCCAAATTTGAATAGCTATACCCAGTTGCTGTTTTGTTTTTTTCCTTCTCAGAATATCTCTGAAGATGTGATTTTTTCTGTGATGTGTTATAAAGATGAGGATGAGGAGCTGTGGCAAGAAGATCCCTATGAGTACATAAGGATGAAATTCGGTAATTGAGATGTTTTTTTTCCTCGTTAGTTCCTAGACACATAAAGTAATAGACCTAAATTTGTATTTTAAGGAGATTTTATTACTTTGTTAAATTCCCTAAGTTCTGCTTTGCACGATAACCTTTGAAACTCCTGAGAGTTTGATGTTCTGTTGAACCAATGAACTTGAGGCCTTTGGGTGTGGGAGATGAAAAGCTGCTTTATGTATCCATGCTATGGGCTGAAGCAGTCTTGGCGCCATCTGTAATCTTTTCTATTGTGATGCTGATCTGCAGGGACCATCCCTCTCTGAGCCTTTTGGGGTATCCATTTGTAGATTGTGCTCAGTCTGGCAGATCCTTTGGAATTCTGCATATTTTAAGAGCACCCCAATTTAGTTTGCCTCCTTATCTTAAAGATAAAGTTTTCCACAAGGGAATGAGATTACCTACAGTGGTTGCACTATGTGGCCCAGTTCTCTGGGAAGGGGAGGAGGGTCCATTTAGCTTGGATTTTCCTGGAAGCTCTTGAACTGTGTAGATTGCCTGAGTTCATTTCCGTATCTCTGGTTTGAATTAATTGCTTCATGGAATACTCAAACCCTTCACATAGTGAAATGTTATTTGTGTACCTCAGTTTCTCCCACAACTTAGAGCTATCTGAGGTCAGGGGCTGCATCTTATTTATTTGCTTTATTTTGCATTCTTCATTCCTTCTACATCTCTACAGTCCTCTACTAGTGTTTGGCTCTAGTATGTCTTCAATAAATGTTGAAATAAATAATTGATAAAACTGGCAATGCATTGCTTTCCCTTGTGGACCAGGTGTCTCTGGCTACTTGAGTTAAGCCTACTGGTATCGATGCTACTGGTGTAGATGCTAGATTGTTTTTACAGTGCTCTGTGTTAGTACTATTTGATTCAGTAAATGAGGAAGTGCCTCTTATCCAGAGACAAAGTACAGGAAAAGCCAATGAATGAGAAATGATATTTACCATTTGCTTTATCCCTCCATTCTACTCTTTCCTTTTAAAAATCATTACACGTGGACATGATTTCCTCTCTTCCTGGTGCTTTTGATTTTCTAGGAACAGAGTGATTAGCCAGTCTTCTCTTTTTCATTATGTTCTTTCAGTGTTTATCTTTTCTGTGATACCTTTATTTTTTGTAATGTGCAGAGTGTTTAGCTTTCAGAAAGCTACCATTATTTCACTTATTCTTCATATAAAATAAGATATGAAGTTTTTAGAAATAAAATAATTAAGAGCTATGAGTGTTGATTGACAGAATTTACATTTTATTGACTAGAAGAGAATGTGGATAACTCAAGACTAGCTGAAATGCTTTTTCTTTAACCATTTCCTTCTGGGAACTAGAATGCAATGGCCATTATTTGATACTAGAGGCCCGGTGCATGAAATTAGTGCACTTGGGGCGGAGGCGGGGTGTTCCCCCAGCCTGGCCTGTGCCCTCTCATAGTGAGGGAGCCCCATGATCGATCGCCCCAAAGAGGTAGGCCCCGCCCACCCATCCAGGGCTCCTCAATGGATTGCCCCAAAGAGGTAGGCTGAAGCCACGACCCTGCCTCCATGCCACACATGCAGCATCAAGCCCCCACCCACCCACGTGCACCCGCAGCCCTGACTGCCCACTCATGCCCGCTGTGCACGCAGCCTCCTGGTCATTGCTCGTTGGGGCATGAGAGCGTCACGGCGTGAGGGCGTGACAACCACATAGGCCAGTGGTTCTCAACCTTCTGGCCCTTTAAATACAGTTCCTCATGTTGTGACCCAACCATAAAATTATTTTTGTTGCTACTTCATAACTGTAATGTTGCTATTGTTATGAATCGTAATGTAAATATCTAATATGCAGGATGGTCTTAGGTGACCCCTGTGAAAGGGTCATTCGACTGCCAAAGGGGTTGCGACCCCCAGGTTGAGAACTGCTGACATAGGCTTTTATTAATAGCATGTATATTTTACTTTGGGATAACTATAGGAAGAACAGCTATGGCATTTATTTTCTTTTTATATTTTTGTCACTTGCAGTAGTTTATATGAACAAAACTTTCCTATCTAAAGGTATTATCTGCTTCTAATAATGAAGCTTTTGGATTTGGTATAAAGTACAGGAGCTCAGACTTTGATGTTAAGGCAACCTGGGTGTGGTGCTGGCTTGGTCACTCACTCGAGGGACTATGGGCACAGCACTTAATGCCTCTGAGATGCAATGTTTTCAGCTATAAAGCAGGCAATGACAATAGTGCTGGATGGAGTAAGTGGGATAATACACATAGTTAGTTATTTAACAGCTTAGTGTAGAATGCTACGTGCTGGGAAAAACCTTAGTATAGTGCCTGCCACAGAGTAAGTACTCAGTAAATGTGAGTTGTTAGTATTATCATGTTTGTGTTTTATATTTTGAGGCAAAGACGTAGATTTGGTTTTATTTTTATATTTAAATATGGATATATCAGATACTTATCAAGTTTTCATATTCTTACATAAAACTGCCTATTCTGAAATTTTCATGTAGTTAAGTGATCTGTTTTACATACGTGTATATTCAAACAAATTCCCTTTGAATACCTGCTGTGTTTTACATACGTGTATATTCAAACAGATACCCCTTGAATACTTGTTGACAGGGCCAAGAGCTATCCAGCAATCCCTCAGGACTTTTACACTTGCTGTTTCCTCTGTTTCATCTTTAGAGTTCCTTGTAGAGATTTCTCCTTCAATTTCTACTTAAGTGTTACCTTAATTGAGAATTGGAGAGGCTTTCCCTGACACCCTATTTAAAGTAGCACTTCACATTTTCCATGTTTCTCTTTACCCTGCTGTACATTTGTTCTTAGCCTGACCTATTATATGTGCATGTGTGTATATGTGTAGAATGTTCCTTACTCTCACTTTATAAACTCCATGAACTATTTTTGTTTGATCTTTGTGTCCCCAGAGCCAACAAACAATGCCTGGCACATAGTAAACACTAAATAAATCTTTATTGTTTTTTGATAGATTCAGCACTTTTCCTATCCTCTGTGAAGCAGCTATGCCTAAAATGTATTTAATGTATTTCTTTACTACTAGGGGCCCAGTGCACAAATTTGTGCACGGTGTGGGCCGTGAGGCTGCAGTGGGCACAGGGGTGGGTCTCAGCCGATCCTCCACGCCCTTGCCTGGCCCCTCCCACCACGGCCCCCAGTCCCCTGTCTGCCGGCAGCCCTGCTCCCACCCCTGCCACTCCCACATGCTGACAGTGTCGGCTCTGCTTGCACCCTCTGATGGCGCGAAGCAGTTGAGGCTGGTGCCAGGCGCCAGCAGTGAGTGTGAGTGTGAGTGGCGGCTCTGGTGCACGCTCCAGGTGTGAGTGGGGCCATTGCTGGCAGTGGGTGTGAGAGGCAGCTGCCAGCCCTGATCTCCCCTCAGGAGCAGGGAGAGGTGGAGAAGCCCTGAGGGGCCATCTGGGCCGGCAGCCGCTGCTTGCACTTGCTGATGGCGCTGAGCGATTGGGGCCAGTGCTGGGTGTCAGCAGCAGGTGTGAGTGGCTGCTACGGTGCCAACAGTGGGTGTGAACAGGGCTGGCACTGGCAGCAGCTGTGAGTGCTGGGTGGGACCGCAGTGCATGGGAGCAAAGAATTTTCAGTAACCACCAGAGGCCCTGATGACAGCAACCGGTGCCCCGCCTTGGTCTGCTGCCCCTGCTCACCTGCTCACCATCCTGTCACAGCTGATGCCCGCCATGTTTCACACGCACCCCCTGGTGGTCAGCGCACATTATAGTGACCGGTTATTCGGTTGTTTGGTTGTTCTGCTGTTTGGTCTATTTGCATATTAGGGTTATGTATATATGGTTGTTCAAAAAGGTAAGCCCCGTAGAGTTTGATATATACTCTTGTGCATGAAAACACTTGATGATATACCCTTAGAGAAAACACAGACAATGTATCTTTCTAGCTTTTTTTTATTCTGTAAAGCAATGTCATATGTGGACCGTTGTTTTTTCTTGATTTTGGAATAGTGATTAATCAGATTTAAAATCCGTATTAAGTAATTGTATTTTTACTAAAATGATTTAATCTTTTAAAATCTTAGACATTTTTGAAGATTATGCATCTCCTACCACAGCAGCCCAGACTCTCTTATATACTGCTGCAAAGAAAAGAAAAGAGGTACATAGTTATTCTTTTTAAATCCTGTGTTGATTTGATACTCTAATATAACCCTAGTATTTGAAAAATTGTCTTATTAGTTATAATCTGTCACTTTAAGAATATTTTATTATCCTAGTGAGGCCAAAAGGTTATTTTGTTTTCTTCATTATAAATACTTTATGAAACACAGTAAAATGCTTTAATTTTGAAAATTTGTACATTGTATATAAATAATACTGTAGTAATACAAGGAAAGCTAATATAGACTGAAATGAATTCTTCTATTTCTTTAGGTCTTGCCAAAAATGATGGCATTCTGTTATCAAATCCTAACAGACCCAAACTTTGACCCGAGGAAGAAAGATGGAGCCCTGCATGTGATTGGTTCCCTAGCTGATATTTTATTGAAGGTTAAGTTACTTATAATTTTTTTAAATTGTTTTATTGCTGAAAGTATTACAAAGAGTATTACATATGTCTCCGTTTTTCCCCGCCCTTGACAATCCCCTGGCCTTCCCTACCCCCCCAGTGTCTTATGTCCATTGGTTATGCTTATATGCATGCATATAAGTCCTTTGGTTGATCTCTTACCCTCCCCTTCTGCCCCCCAACCCTCCCCGGCCTTCCCGCTGTAGTTTGACAGTCTGTTCGAGGCTGCTCTGCCTCTGTATTTATTTTTGTTCATAAATTTATAATGGTCTTTAATATCCATAAATAAGTGAGATCATGTGGTATTTTTCCTTTATTGACTGGCTTATTTCACTTAGCATAATGCTCTCAAGTTACTTATAATTTAATTTACTTAAAACTGTGAAGCACTGAAAAATGTGAGAATATGAAAGTTATGAATAGTTTAAAACTGGTGACTGCTTCTGCATAATTGAGTTGACTGTAAATATTCTTTTTGTCACCTGTATCTTGAGTTAAAAAGAACTTTTGACTTTGTTCTTACCAAAATCAATCAGCATCAAATTATATTTAAAGTACTGTTTTTGTCTCTTTTTTAAAAAATATATTTTTATTGATTTCAAAAAGGAAGGGAGAGGGAGAGAGAGAGAGAAATATCAATGATGAGAGAGAATCATTTTTTGGCCTCCTCCTGCACATCCCCCACTGGAGACTGAGCCTGCAGCCTGGGCATGTGCCCTGATCAGGAATTGAACTGTGACCTCCTAGTTAAAATGTTGACACTCAACCACTGAGCCACACCGGATGGGCATCTTTAAAAAAAAATAATTTTTTTAAAAAAATTGACTTTAGAGAGAAAGAAGAAGGGAGGGAGGGAGAGAAACATTGATTGGCTGCCTCCTGCACACCCTCTCACCTGGGATCAAGCCCAAAAATCTGATTGAACCAGCAACCTTTTGGTGCATGGTATGATGCTCAACCAACTGAACCACACAGGCCAGGGCTATTTTTGTCTTGTTTTAAAACATGCAATATATCAGTGAAATAGTTTTACAAAATTGGAAATAGAAGTATAATAAGTGTAAGTCATAATAAACATACTTTATTAGGATATATAAGTTGAAACTTAATTTCTATTTCCTAACAGAAGAGTTTATTCAAGGATCAAATGGAGTTGTTGCTGCAGAATCATGTATTTCCATTATTATTGTCTAATCTGGGATATCTTCGAGCTAGAGTAAGTTTTCCATATTTCCATTATATATCTTAAAATCTTCATTTTAAGATAATTATTGAACTAAATGTTTTTGGATAAATTGACACATATTGAGGCACACTGACTAAAGAAGAAACTAGTAGATAGAGGGATTTATGGATTTTAATTCCAACTGTTTTCATTTTTTATCCCACCCTCACTTCCTGCATATGCAAAACATGTAAGGAGTGATGATGTTACTGCAATGGTACAATGGAAATTCAGAAACTGGTTAATTTTCAGTGTCCACAAAAAGCATGAAATTCTAGTTTAGCTAAAAACTTGATTATGATTTCCAGCATGTTAGGTAGATATACCTTAGTAGAGTGAAGAAATTAATAATCCATGTAAACTTATTTGTGTTCTAAGTGTGTATTACTTCTAGAATCAATATATTTTATGGAGAAAGAAATAAAACTAGAATTTTAATTTAAGAGCCTAGTATTTATAACTACGTCAACACACAAATTTCTTGCTAAGCACAACATCTACACTAATAAAAGACAAACATGCAAACTGACCATACCTTTGCTACTCCTTAAGCCACGTCCACCAGCCAATCAGAGTGACTATATGCAAATTAACCCAACCAAGATGGCAGCCGGCAGGCACGGAGTTGGAGCGAGCAAGAGGCTTGGTTGCTCCAGTGATGCACGGAGTTAGAGCAAGCAAGAGGCTTGGTTGCTCCAGTGATGGAGGAAGCCAAGCTTCCTGCGCCCAGCTGTAGCCTCCACAAAAGGCAACAAAGTTTCAATTACAGAAGCTAAATAAATCCCAGAATAAAAACAGAAAAAAAAAAGAAAAAAAGGAGAGGCTGGGATCTTCCATCGCCAGGGGGGCTTGGCCAGCCTGAAAACGGCCCTCAGCCCCTCACCCAGGCTGGCCAGGCACCCCAGCGGGAACCCCCCTCCGCCCCCCCCGACCCGGGACACCCTGCAGGGCAAACCAGCTGGCCCCCACCCATGCACCAGGCCTCTATCCTATATAATAAAAGGTAATATGCAAATTGACCCTAATAGCAGAACGACTGGGAATGACTGGTCACTATGACACACACTGACCACCAGGGGGCAGATGCTCAATCCAGGAGCTGTCTTCTGGTGGTCAGTGTGCTCCCACAGGGGGAGCTCTGCTCAGCCACAAGGCAGGCTGACCGCTGCCAGTGCAGCGGTGGTGGTGGGAGCCTCTCCCACCTCCTCAGCAGCACTAAGGATGTCCGACTGCAGCTTAGGTCTGCTCCCTGCTGGCAAGTGGACATCCCCCGAGGGCTGCCGGGCTGCCAGAGGGATGCCTGACTGCCAGTTTGGGCCCAATCCCCTAGGGAGCAGGCCTAAGCCAGCAGGTGGACATCCTCCGAAGGGTCCCAGATTGCAAGAGGGCATAGGCTGGGCTGAGGCCCCCCCCGCCCCCCCGAGTGCACAAATTTTTGTGCATTGGGCCTCTAGTATATTAATAATACCTTATGCATTTCAAAGCATTTTATGAACAGAAGATAATCATCATTGGAGAAATATTTGGGCAAATGTAGATTAGAGATGTTGAGGCCACGCAAATATTTTTACAGGTAGGCTTCTATTTTTGAGAGGATGTATAAATTGTAATTCTCTTGATAAAAGTCTTTAGTAATTCAACTGTTGATTGTGTTTTATGCATGTAGAGAATTTAAGAAAGTAATATGATTTTGTGGTCTAGGAGTTTAAAATTTGGTAATCTACACAAGGTTTAAATTCTTTGTACCTATGTGAGTGAAAAAAAGGGAGTTTGCTGTAGTGTAAGGGAAAATAATGTTTCATTTGTTTGCTGTAAAGGCCAGCAAATAAATGTCAAACATTGGTTTGTAGTAGCTTTTACATGTAAATAATAAATTAGTTATGAATCATAATATTTATTAAAAGCATAAACAGGACTTTTTTTTCAGGGCAAGTTCTCTGAATTTATTCAGTACATGGTTCACAAACTTGAAGGCAATTCAAGCATAGGGGCTCGGATTTATGTTTGAAAAAGGGTGGACATTTTTTCCTCAGAGACACTTAAATTTGGCTCTGTTTTCTTTTTCCTGTGAAAAATGCTATTGCATATAGGTAATTTAGAAGTAATCCAACTGCCTTTTTTAAAAAACATAAAACAACAGAGAAATCCAGAAATTAGCAACTAAGGCTTATATGCTACCCTTTAAAAAACAAATAGTACGTGGTAGAATTAATGACATTTTAATTAGTAAGAAGTTATGCATGACATTATTATAGAATGCCGTAATCCTAATAGTTTCCTATTTACTTTCTCCTTGTAACATAGTCCTGTTGGGTACTTCATGCATTTAGTTCTTTGAAGTTTCATAATGAGCTCAATCTAAGAAATGCACTTGAACTAGCAAAGAAGAGCTTGATTGAAGATAAGGAGATGCCCGTCAAAGTTGAAGCTGCCCTTGCTCTTCAGTCATTAATTTCTAACCAGACACAAGGTAAAACCAAAAACACCTTTTAGAATATTTGTTTGTTTGTTTATTTATTTTTGGACGTGGCCTTCTTAAATAGTCTTATTCATTTTCTTTCCTACTAAGAATAATTCTTTAAGTCTTAAGGTTTAGGGTTTAGATTTCTGAACTTTTGCCCCTCACAGTTTTATAGAAGTTTACTTTTGACCTTTTTTGGGAATTCCTTTTGACTATGGTTTCCAGAAAACTTTTAGATTAGGGAACAAGTTGATAATTGTTGGGTATTAGGTGGACTGGGAATTAAGAGAACTGGTGTCTAATTTTGATTGTGCTACCAGTCTATATATAAAAAAGCCTAATATGCAAATTGTCCCCTCAAGAGTTCTACCCGGAGACCAGGAGTTTGATCGCTCGCTATGACGTGTGCTAACCACCAGGGGGCGGCATGGAATGAAGGAAGGCCTTGGCCAGCAGCCTGAAGGCCCCAATCGGCCCTGATCGCCGGCCAGGCCTAGGGACCCTACCCATGCATGAATTTCGTGCACCAGGCCTCTAGTTTGCATATAAAGCTGGGCAAGGCACATGATTTGTCATCACTTGGATATCTAATACATTTAAATTCAGGGGGTTGGAGTAGATAGCTTCAAGATCCTTTCAACTCTAGGATTCTGTGGTTCTGCTACTTCTGAAAGTAGCAAGTAATATTTCTAGTGAGTGAGAACTCAGATATCTCATTTGTTTGTTTAGAAGAATATGCTGTCCAAAGGTCAAATAATCCTTTGAAAGTAAACATGCATCTAGTTTAACTCTAGTCAACAATGTTTTGATGGAGGTCTGAATATTGCATAAGAATATGAGGGGAGGAGGGTGAGAAGAGATGGGGTGGGGCAGGGGATGGGCACCATCAGCAGTGAGCATAGTTTTATGTACATTATTTTTTATACTTGTATCCTGGTATCATATCCATGTTGTATAAGACATGGGGGCTGTTGGCATTTTGGTCAGGACAGTTCTCTCCTGTGCAGGACTGATTCTCTCTGTATTACTTAGGGGAATATTGATATATAGTGATGAAGATTATTTTGGTACAGCTTTGCAACTTACCACAGAGCAAGTATCTGTTTAGAACCTATTACCCTGTGTCACTTACCTTTGTGAGCAAGTTGATTCCTTTTATCACTTGTGAATGGCTAATTTTTTAGTGATTGTGTTTATTTTATTGCATTAGCTAAGGAGTATATGAAGCCACATGTGAGGCCTATTATGCAGGAGCTGTTGCACATTGTTAGAGAGACAGAAAATGATGATGTGACGAATGTTATCCAGAAGATGATATGTGAATACAGTCAAGAAATAGCCTCCATTGCTGTCGATATGACCCAACACTTGGTAAGACTGGGAGGGCTGTTTGGTATAAAAGCCTTGACTAATCTAAATAAATTAAACTGCAAAATTTGGAGTTTGGTTGTATATGTAATTGTAATCCTATCTAGCCTGTAATAAAAGACTAATATGCAAATGGACCGAATGGTGAAACGACTGGTTGCTATGACGCACACAGACCACCAGGGGGCAGATGCTCAATGCAGGAGCTGCCCCCTGGTGGTCAGTGTGCTCCCACCGGAGGAGTGCTGCTTAGCCAGAAGCCGGCCTCATGGCTGGTGAGTGCAGAGGCGGTGGCGGGAGCCTCTCCTGCCTTTGCGGCAGTGCTAAGGATGTCCAACTGCTGGCCATCAATCGGACATTCCCCGAGGACTCCTGGACTGTGAGAGGGTGCAGGCCAGGCTGAGGGACCCCCCCCCCCCAGAGGGCACAAATTTCATGCACTGGGCCTCTAGTGTTAATGTAAAAATGTTTGCTCTTCTAATTTTGACAGTTAATTCATATATACATATACATATACATATACATATGAGGGAGAGGGAGAGAGAGAAACATCAATGATGAGAGAGAATCATAGATTGGCTGCCTCCCGCATGCCCCACACTGAGGACGGAGCCAGCATGTGCCTTGACCAGGAATTGAATTGTGACCTCCTGGTTCATAGGTTGACACTCAACCACTGAGTCATGCCTGCTGGGCTCTCTTTTTTTCTATAGTTCAAACAAGATAGTTTATTCCTCTCTTATATTAATAACAGTCTGGAGGAAGCAGGCAGGAAGACAAGGTCCCCCAAACACCCAGTTTCTTCCCACCATTCCCTAGGACCATGGTCGGCAAACTGTAGCTCGCGAGCCACATGCAGCTCTTTGGCCCCTTGAGTGTGGCTCTTCCTACGCCTTAGGAGTACCCTAATTAAGTTAATAACAATGTACCTACCTATATAGTTTAAGTTTAAAAAATTTGGCTCTCAAAAGAAATTTTAATCGTTGTACTGTTGACATTTGGCCCTGTTGACTAATGAGTTTGCCGACCACTGCAGGACAATCCTAAGCTAAGTTACCAGCAACACACTTGAATTTAAGCCCACAGGGATTGGAAAAAGAGGAGTTGGGAAGCAAGCAGTTTCCTTTGAAATTGTGACAAAGTTGTGCACACACTGCTCATGTCCTACTGGTCTCTGTGGGGTGAAGTTATTTTCTAGTCCATCTTTTTATTTGGTGTACTGCCTTTTTAGGTCCCAGTTTTACACAGAGATCTAGATCCAATTTCCATGTGAACACTCAGGTATTCATTTTCTATTTTCTGTATGTGAAGCCCAATACAGTGGGGCCTTGACTTACGAGTGTCCTGACTAATGAGCTTTTCGAGATACGAGCCGTCTCTTGGCCGATTTTTTGCTTTGAGTTACGAGCTAAAATTCGGGTTATGAGCCAGCTCCAGATACCCCACCACTAGTTGGCGCAGCAAATGTCACAGTGAACGCCACAATATCAGCCCAGCAAATTGATTTGTCAAATTGATTTGACATACGAGTAATTTGAGTTATGAGCTCTATCACGGAACGAATTAAACTCGTAAGTCAAGGCCCCACTGTATACCCCAAATTTCCAGGCCCCAGGTATAGGTCAAGGCCCTAGCAGAGCCATCAGTTTAAGCCCCAAGAGTTTCCCAACATGACTGCCTACAAAGCCCCAGGTTGTCTGGCCTTGCCATCTTGCTGCCCACATCTCTCTTCTCCCTCACTCACCAGTCTCTAGCCCCTCTGGCTTCCTTGCTATTCTCAGAGGTCACCACGCTCTTTGCAACCTCCTGGCCTTTCTACATGCCACTCCCTCTAGATATCCATTTGGCTGGCTCCCTCCCCTCATTCTGCTCAGATGCCACCACCTCCAAGACTTTTGCTGACCACTGTGAGCAAAATAGCTCCTCATCACAACCCATTACCTACCTTTGACTTTCCCTTAGAGCACCCATAACTACTGACGTGGTATTGTGTGTGTGTGTGTGTGTTTAATGTATGGTCTAACTCTTCCACTAGCTATGAGCCTAGGTAGTTGATTTAGAAAGTAATTCTGGGGAATGGGAGTGGGGAAGGGTCATGAACCGCAAAGGAGGAGAAGTCAATACCAGGTTATGCTATTGAGACTATGGATGTGGCTCAGAACTCAGGGGAGAGAACCCTGTATACTTCAACTGCTGCTCCTTTGGTCAGATGTGGCCCCCTATCGGTGGTTAGTTCCCCTGCACTTCTGGTTTGCACATGGATCAGAGAAGCTCTGGGGCAGGAAGCAAGGGCTCAAGCCTGAGGCAAGACCATGTCAGGTTGTGCCTGAGCAAACCTGGTGGAAGCCCTTGTGGAAGTGGTTGCTGCAGCAATAGCTATAGTGAGAGGTGGGGCCAAGCGACTATTGACAGTTAATTTCTATAGTTAATTAGATTTAAATATAATAACATTTAAGGTTAATGTATTTTATCTATAATATTCTGAGATTTCATAGTGATTTTGCCTTAATGTGAGCCTTCTAAATTTTCACTTTCTGGATTTTGAATCTTGAAACTCATTTTCTTCAGTTTCAGACAATTTCTTGTGTTACTTCTTTGATGAATTTTTCTCTGCTCTTTTTTCTGTTCTATAGTTCTGATGTAGAGTATTGGGCCAAGACTGAGTTTCTGATTTCCTTACCTCTCTCCATATCTGTTCTTTTCGTTTCATTTTCTAGATGATTCCTTGACCTTGTCTTCTAAACCTTTTATCGAATTTTTCATTTGAGTATTATTAGATTTCAATTTTCCCAGATTTTGGAACTATTTGTTTAATGACAACCAGAGTTAAGTATTAGCTCTCTGATTGTAATAGCTAACGTATATATTTCACTCTAGTGGCCAGATAAGGAAAAAATGGCTATATTTAAAACATCACAAAATACATAATGTTGCTGACATTTATATGTGTGATGCTGCTCTTTTGCTAACATAATAGAGGAGTGAGTATAACTACTAATTGTTGAATATGTTTATTTTCATAGGCAGAGATATTTGGCAAAGTTCTTCAAAGTGATGAATATGAAGAAGTTGAAGACAAAACAGTAATGGCTATGGGAATTTTACATACCATTGATACTATCTTGACAGTTGTTGAAGATCATAAAGAGGTGGGATTTCTTTGTATTTTATTTTGTCATTATAGTAACTTTAACTGAAATTTATATGATCAATGGGCACAATTTTAAAAATTGTGACTTTTAAATTGCTATTTAGTTATGTTGCTAGATTTTATAAATTATCCTCGAATTTTAAAGACATATTAAAATAGTTGATGGGAAATATTACGTGTGGTTATAAAGTGTACACTATATCCCTTTTTTCTGAACTGAGTGAACTAAGTTCAGCACATGACATCTGCCAGGGTAGGTTTTTAGGGAATACTAAATTGTATAAGACATGAGCTCTGCCTTCTGAATCCATAGTGTAGTCTTCTCAGTGGAGAGTGATAGCCATCAGTCAGAGTGGCAAATATTAAGTAATGGAACAAAATTCTGAGTAACCAATATTGTGAGGATGGAGGGGAAGAAGAGTTTAAAACATCATTTCCCTGAACTGAATTCCAGAATAATATTGGGATAAGAATTGTGCAGACAGTCATCAAGTGCTTTCACATCCATTAGGTCAGGGGTGGGGAATGTCCGGCCCAGGGGCCATATAAGGCCCCTGAAGTCATTTTTTTCTGACCCTGCCAAGGCATTAGGGGTGAGTTAATTAAATGTTTGACCAAATGTAGCAGGCTAAATTTTAGGTTGATCATTTTGTATGGCCTGCAAATGATGTTATAAATATCCAATGGAACCTTGGCATTAGCTGATATAATGATACCCATGTCACTGTGAGTTGGATGGAGCACGTAATGGTGGTGCCATTTTGCAGAAGTGGAAAACAAGAGACTTGTTCATGGTCATCAAGTTTTGGGTTTGCAGTCAAATCATCCTGATGATATATCAGTGTATCTCCACCTAAAACCCGCTGCTCTCCTCCCCAAGTGTTACATAACCTTTCCTTAATTCAAATTAGATTGTGTTTTTCTGTGAGCTCAAGTTGACTTACTTAGCAATGATGGCAACTCTTGTTTTATACAGTGAGGATTTGGGAAAGCAGGCGCCAGTTCTTTAAATAGCATTGTTAAACGCTGTGGCTATTGATTTATCTTGTGTTTACCACATACCAATACATGATTACCAGATTCTTAAAAATGGTTTGATCTTCTTTTCCTGGGCTGGCCTTCTTTCACCTAAAAGGCTCAATGCGAATTTTAATTTCCATATTCATTATTTTAGTTTTGTATCCTTTTGAAACTATATGGGACTCTTGGAAACAGTGAGGTGTTCCAAATTAAATCACAGCAAGTATACTTGAGGATAATTCTTTCACCTTATATGTAGAACTTGTATTTTAAATTTGAAGAGACCTGAGAAATCGCCTCATCCAGTTTTCCCAAATATGTGTGTGGAGGACAGGCAGTGGTAGAATGAGCAGAAGGATTATTTTGAAAACAAAACAGCATTTTCTATTTTTGTTTTAATTTTTTTACTCTTGATATTACATTTATTTTGAATTTCAAATGAAGTTAAAGGAGCATGAGAAGTTACTATGAAATTATCAAGGGAGGCAAGTCAGGGGTAAAACTGAAGAGCACTAATCATATCCATCTTCCTTACTTACAGATGAAAAAACTTAGCACCTTCAGCTAAATGGCTTACCTAGGTTTTAGATCAGCAATTTTCAACGTTTTTTTTTTGTTGTTGTTTTGTTTTTTATATCATGGCACACATAAAATAATAAGTAAAATTCTGTGGCACACCAAAAATATACACTTTTTGCCTATCTGACAAAAAATCTGTGTAATTTTGATTTATTCACATGGGACATCTATTGTGTTGGCTGTTGTCAGTTTTAAATTTGACATTCTAAGGGAGAAGAGGTCACTGCCCCTGACTACATAGTCAGGTATTGTGTGTTTTTTTGGTGTGTGTGTTGCTTAAACAGCAAACATTTATTTCTCACAATTCTGAAGGCTGGGGTGTGTGTTTTTTTAAGTTCTGCTTCTTTTTAATCCTCACCCGAGGATATGCTTTTACTGATTTTTTTAGAGAGAGAGGAAGGGAGAGGGAGAGATAGAGAAACATCAATGTGAGAGTGAAACATCAATCGATTGCAACCTGGGTATGAGCCCTGCCCGGGAATCAAACCTGCCACCTTTTGGTGTACAGGATGATGCCCAACCAACTGAGCCACACCAGCCAGGGCAGGTATTGCATGTTTCAAAAATTCTTGAGGCACAGCAGTGTGCCTCTTGTGGCATGCACTCTGGTTGAAAATCACTGTCATAGATAATTAGGGGCAAAACAAGAACCAGAATCTTGTTTCCTGATTGCCTGTCCTATGACTAAATTTTAGCTTGTTAAAACATTTTTGAAAACATTATTTTTGAAAGGGGAAATCACATGTGAATGAATATATGTACAAATACTTCCTGTGTGAAGAGCACAAGTGAAAGTCTAAAACATCTTAAGCATGTGCAGTTTTTCTTAGTAGTTCTAAATATATAGAAAATGCTTAAATGGAAAAATTTGGATCATTTGAATTTCAAGACTGTAGTTTAAGTTGAATATTAAAGAATAATTTCAAAAGTTGAAATAGGGTACTTAGATGAAAAATGGAATCCATCATGGATTTTAATTTTTTCTTATTTAAAAAATATTTAGTACAAACCTATGTTGAAAATTCAAAAGGTGTGAAAAGGAGGATGAGATCTCATCTCCCCAGACATCTCATCCTCCTCTCAAGGAGGTGGCTCCTTTACCAGGTGTTTTGTATCTTTCCAGAGATTTTTCTCTACTATATCCAGGCAGAAAATGAGTATGTGTATTTTTCTTTAATAAAAATGATAGCGTACATTTTCATCTGCCACTTGTTACTTAATATTTCTTGGTGAGTCTTCCATATCTACACTAATAAAAGAGAAACATGGTAATTGGTGTACGACCGCTACCCTTCCCATTGGCTAATCCCCCTGTCACTCACAGAGTAGGGCCGAGATATGCAAATTAACTGGCAGCCAAGATGGCAGCCGGCAGCCAGGCAGCTGATGCGAACAGGGAGGCTTGCTTGCTTCAGTGACGGAGAACTCCGTTCTCCGCCTGACTTGCCAGCCTCTCAACTGCAACTCTCAGCAACTATGCTGCGAATAAAAAAGCTAAAAACACCCCCAGAAACCTGCTTTACTCAGCAGAGCTTCAGCCAGCCGGACCGCAACATTGTATCAAATACAGACGGTAAACAAAGGCCAGAAACCTGTTTTCAGCAGCCGAGGCCTCAGAGCTAAAGCTGGCCCAGAATAAAAAAAGAAAAAAGGAAAAACGGAGCAGTTGGGAGCTTCAGTCCCAGCCTGAAAACGGCCCTCAGCCCCTCAGCCAGACTGGCCAGGACCCCAGTGGGGACCCCCACCCTGAAGGGTGTGTGACCAGCTGAAAACAGCCCTCAGCCCCTCAGCCAGACTGGCCAGGCACCCCCGTGGGGACCCCCAGCCTGATCCAGGACACCCTTCAGGACAAACAGGCCAGCCCCACCCATGTACCAGGCCTCTATTCTATATAGTAAAAGGGTAATATGCCTCCCAGCACCGGGATCAGCATGACAGGGGGCAGTGCCCAAACCCCCTGATCGCCCTGCAGCTCTGTGTGTGACAGGGGAAGGCACCCCAACCCCCTGATCAACCCTGCTCTGTGCCTGATAGGGGGGAGTTC